TTGTTAGCTTCCTTTTTGTGTGGAAACAAAATGGCACACAGTATGTGTGAGAGTGCTCAGACTTGGTGGAAAAGCTTTCAACTGTTAACTAATTTAGAAGGAAGGCTGACCAATTTGCCCAGGAATAAAATATAAATCTATCATAACTATCTGCAAGACCATGAGTAAAATCTGTTTGTTCTATAAGAAATATGGCTTCAACTTATTAAATTAGCAGAAGTGCAGATTCAAATTAAGATCCTGAAAGTAAAACAAGAAACAATGTACAGACCAATTATTTATGATGCTTTCTTTTTAAAAAGAAAAGGAAAGAAAAGAAGGTTATTGATACATCTAACTATGCATACACACACACACCTATGGATATGGATATATGGAAAGAGAGAGAGAGAGGCAGTACTGCTATTGTATTGTTATATTTCCTATTTTATTCTTAACTTTACTTCTAGGACAGGCAAGGGCAATATGTGGATCTTACTGAACTCCAATTCCCATCAATCCTAACCAGCATGGCCAATGATGAGGAATGAAAGAAAGTCTGTCAAACAGCATCTGCAGGTCCATATATTGCTCACTCCTGTTCTAGGGTAAGTGGTCATAAGACATTAAAATGTTAAAAACAGTATAATGTTTGGAAGTGTTTTTTGGTTCTCTGACTGATCTCAAGAGCCCAGAATAAAACATTTGTCTAGATAGGTGCTTGTGTGTTTTCTTCAATTTATCTGTTCAAAGTAACAACTGTTGTTCATCATTTATATAGAGATAACAACAGGAAATTCCCAGAAAGATGGAGTATATAGTGAAACAACTCTGTTTGGTATAGGAAATATTGCTTATTAATAGATGATATACTTTGTATGCACAAATTCCCAGATTCAATCTCTAGTATGTAGAGTTAAAAGAATTACATATGACTCTGTCAAGGATTGGCTACCTGAATTAAGCTTGTTGGATCAATGTTTTGTATGTATATGCATAAAATAAAGAACATGCATAGGGTTGAATCAGGATGGACAGTTACGTTCATGAAAAGTACCAGCATCCAGCAAAAGAATCCAACTGAAGAAAAAGGATAGAAGGGCAATATTTTCTGATTACCTCTTCTACCTGTTGCTTCTTTCAATGGTTTCATAGTCCTCTAGAGCATCTGTTCAGAAGCTGTAGAGGGCTAGGTTGAATTGTAATCATGTCTCCAACGTCTTCCTATAATGCAACAAAATGTTCTCAATCCACTTAATTTAGTAAGATATTCAGAGGATCGTACCATTAGAAAGACTATTCTAGTTCATCTTCCTTTTCCCTCACAGAACAATCAAGATAATTAATACAGAATATAAATTTCAAAATAAAAATGTTGTGACTTAAATCTGCTGTTTTGTAAAATCACTGCTTCATCCACAAATTATAGGAGGGTGGTAATAATTCAGAACAGTTTAAATTTCCACATAAACCAAATGCACAGTCATTCCACATTTGCTTGATGAGACTGTATTTCCTGCCTGCAGACTGATAGTCTTCTTTAAATTGAAGCACCATCAGCTAAAGCACTGGAACAATTGCAAATATGGTTGGAATAACTTTGTCTTTTGTGAGACCAACTCACTTTGTCACCTTCCCCAAAGTTTGGTTCTGTTCAGGTATCTTGGGAGTTTTAGTCATATCACATCTAGAAGGCACTAGACTAGGTAAAGTTACACTATGTACATATTTTCTTATTAAATTACAGGGACTGAATTCTGAACACCAAGTAAATATGTCTTATGCTCATGGAATTCCATGTTACTAAGATGTCACCTTAATTCTAAGCTCATTCAACAGAAGTTGTTAATTTGAAATAGACATTGTTTTAAATGACATCGTTTCATTATCTCATTTTAATGTGACATAACTAGCCTTGATTAAGTGAAGATTTCTACCAATGCCAGTGATACTTATATGCATGCATACTAAAATGCAAGTTTGTATACTTGTCCTAATAGCAGATATGAAGGCAAATCCTTAGTCTAGACAAGGCTTTAGTATATATGCATTTTGGTTATGTGCCAAGGGAAAATGGGCAGATGTCAACTAAATTATTTGGTGGATTCAAATGATAAACAATAACCATTTCTACCAATAATGGGCTGCAGGTTATAAGTAGTAGGATAAATGTAATGCTTTAATGAGTTGTTATTGCTTTGGGAATTTTTGAAATAAGTATGATAGCATGACATTAGTTGATCATCTTTTTATAAACTGTGAAAACAATTGATATACGTGGATTAAAAAAAAATAGCATTACTCCAAGCTCTCTGGCATTTTTTATTCAACTTTGCAGACACCTTGATTGATAAAACTATTTTTAGGTGAATTTGTTTATTAAATATCACTGCCTATTAATGATGAAATAGGTAAAAATGACAGGTTATTTCATCTTAATATACATATGTAATGAGATGGAAATTTTTCAAGTTAAAATAGTTAATTCTGAAGCAAGTCAGTTCTTTTTTTTTTTCTTGATATATTTTGTGTTCTTTTAATTTTTATCTGTAAGCTGCCCAGAGTCTCTATGGAGTCATGTGGCCTCAAAATTGAAATAATAAATAAAGTACTGTAAAAGAGCTGTAAATCTGTTACAACTGAATATTGCACAGGGATCTTTGAATTGCAACAAACCATATACTACTTACTACCTTTCTACTAACATTTCTACTTCTTAAGATTCCACCATTTCCTATGTTCAGTGAACTTTCTGCCGATTCCTTCACTTTAATTTCATTGTGCAATAAACTCCTGTTTTCTTTATGATAAACTTACAGGCAGTATTTGTATGTTCAGTTGAAATTGAGAGAACTAGAGCTGAAGCAGAAAAAATACAATGAAGAAAGTATATTTAGCTCTATAATTGTTCATTTGCATTCTCTGCAAGTTGTGGAAAATAAGACAAAGTTAATGATAAAAACATGATAATGCTACTTCATCAGACTAAAAATAGTTCAGCATTCTACTTTTCATAGTGGTCAGCTACAAGTCCACAAAAGGGCAATAATTTTTTCCTATTATAGTTTCCAAGTATCTGGTATTCTACTTTTTGATATGGAGATAGTTGGTGGGTATCTCCTTATTTTGTATCAGTAAATTCCGTAATTCAGCTTTGCCCACTGTGATACCTCCAGATGTGTTAGGACAACAAATTCCCAAAATGCCCAGCTATTATAGTTTAACCATATGCTAAATGATATTGTCACAGGTTCTTCTTTTTGTCTGTATTGAATATCCTGCCAATCAGCTTCATTGAAGTATTGTGAAGTTGTTGTTGTTGTACAATGGCTTATACAGAAAGGATTTGCCCTTCATTTTTCCCATTTCAGCAATGATGTATGAAAACAGGGCACTAGTATTTACAACTTCTCCCTTGTGAATGTGAACTTTCTCGTCGCTTTGTATCTATTTCAACTATTTTCACTTGTGGGAGCCTTTCTCCCACGTTGTCTTCAAAATTGTTACAATTAAAAATTAAAACAGTCAATAGAATGGCATAAAGATAAACAGTAATTATAGATTAAATAAAAGACTGTTATTCCCTCCCACTTCCAAATTTAGGCTTATTTAAGCCTGGCAGCCCCAAGGGGATTCTAAAATTAAAATATATCTTCATCCTGTTTCCCTTTTGCTCTTTCTGTCCCTAATATTTTGAGATTTCCTCCATCTGATATTTTTTCATATTATTTGTTAAATTCTCTTAGCTAATGTCATGGATTGTTCTCAACCATGTCACAGTAACCCATCATAGATTGGGACAACCTTTCTGCTGACATCATTTGGTTTAGATTGGGGTTCTCAAACTTTGCAGTGCCATGATCCCTAAAATGATACATGGATTTTTGTGACATCTTCCCCCAAGAATAAAATCAATCATTTCCTTGAGTTTAGAGTTGGACCAGAAAGAGAGATGCCACTTACTTTCAATAGTTACATTTTAATTGAAATATCCCTCAACTCCAGATGTCTTCACTGCCGTATGACAGAAACCAAATCCAACATGTGGCCCAGACTGTGTGTTAGTTTCTTGATGACTTGGCTCAGGCCCTTGGTTACCATGATGGTCACAAACATCTGAGCTGTTTCAGACTCTCTGCCCAGGGAAGGCAGGCTGATGTCTCCCAGTACTTTAAGTTTGGGAATCTCCACTGCCAACCTAACCATAGCATTGAGCAGCTCAGGCAGGGAAGCCGCTGCACAACAGGAAGATCAGTACAGTAGCTGCAATCCCATCTATTACCTACAGCCCAACTTTACATAGGTCTTACATCCAATTATCAGAGGTCTTACATCTAGTTTCCAGAGTTACCTCTGGAAGCCTTGCAAATTGTATGGCCATTTGCTATGCAAAATAGTGCCTCCATTGGTTCCATAATTTTTGTTGGATAAGATGTACATAAGAATGACTCCCATTGTGCTCTCTACTCTAGTATAATCAGATTCCTGATATCTACCAAATATAATAAAGAAAAAATGTCTCATGCAGCCTTAGCTGTTTATACCCTGTGCGAAGTGCAAAGTTATGCCAGCCAGCAGGGATAGTTGAGTTTTAAACCTTCCCTCTACTACTCTATCTGTACCTATGTGTTGGTAGTGTACATGTACGCATGTGAGAGTATATGAATGCCAAGGTCCCAAAACACAGAAGGAGAGACCTGGCTTCAGATTCTGATTTGTAAAAAAGATGTGCTTTAATTATTCATAAGCTGAATGTGAGCCTGCAAATATGATAGGGCTCTTAAAAGAATCAATACAAGCTGCTTTGACAGAGTAAACTCTTCTAATTCTATAATTTTATACAGATTATTTGTTTACATTCAGTGGATACTGAGGAAATATGAATAGAGTTGCTCTAAAACTCCTATAGATTTGTCTATATGTAGATATTAAGAATTTATAGCATGAAAACATTTTTGAATATAAACGCTTCAGTTTTGTTTCTTTTTTCCAAAGGTAAACATTTGCTATTTATTTTGTAGGTGCTAACATCATGTCGGGCCTTTCTGTTAACTTCCCGTATTCCTACCAAGGTAAGGCTGAATTGTATTACTTTTTTCTTATAATCTAGCAAAGTTCACTTACTTTTAAGATAATATACTGGTCAGTCTTGGAATATAATAAGGAAGTTGAGAATAGTTTAATGGAGTACATTTTAGAGAAAATGCTGTGCATTGTTTCCCATTTTTCTATGTTTGAACTGTTACACTTGGAACAAATTTATGCAATCTTCATGAAGGTATAGGGGCACAGTTTACATCTTGTTGAATATGGAATTTTGTGAAGGTATACATATGTCTCAAAGATGATTTAACTTCACGATGCTTTTTAAGCTCTAAATTGTAGGTAATATGAAGCTAATAAAGGAACATTCAGATTACTGCTTCACAATTATATTAAATCCAGATGAGTAGAAATCAGTCTTTATTATAGTAGCCTTCTGGGACAGAAATAGTTATATAAAATTTATGTAACAGCTATTTCAGATCATTTGGCTGAATTATAGCCTGGGTTGTTTCTTAAGTGAAAAATCCCTCTGTTGTTCATTTACATATATCAGTATTTTAAGTAGGTCCACTAATTAGTATTATGTCTAGTACTAATTATAGGAATAGGAATTATATCTAATTCTTCAGATATAAATGATAGTTGAGTTTCTCTTTATAATGGACATCATTGTCATATTCAAAGGTGACAAACTTATCCAAACAAAATTTTGTTACATAATCTTCTGCAGTGGATTTTGGAGACAGATTATTCTACAGAATATGAAAGAAACCAATTCTGAAATGAGATGCTGGCTAGAGCCTGTCAGTTCCTCTGGCATGTCAGGCTTTAGGAGTTTAATGGACATCATTGTCATATTCAAAGGTGACAAACTTATCCAAACAAAATTTTGTTACATAATCTTCTGCAGTGGATTTTGGAGACAGATTATTCTACAGAATATGAAAGAAACCAATTCTGAAATGAGATGCTGGCTAGAGCCTGTCAGTTCCTCTGGCATGTCAGGCTTTAGGAGTTCTGACCAGAAACATTGGGGCACAGTGCTGATTTCATTAGTATTACTTCCTGGTCCAGTCCTGTTGCCATTTTCACAGTGAAGATTGAGAGGTTGCCAACAGCCTTCTTGCCTCATTCTGCTCCATATTCACATAACAAGAGATATCAATGGCAACTCACTGTACAATTTGCCAGGGATATATTTTTCAGTCGTGGGAGTTGGGTGGGTGGGGGTTGACCATCTGTAATGTTGCTGATTTACCATTTTTCTAGAATTGGTCCTATTTACACTTTGAAAATAAGTGGTGTAATGGAATGTTATGTAGTTTATTATATATCCATTATTTACTCTCAGTAGAGTAGTATCAACTGTTTTGTCTGGAAACAGAAGTTGCAGCTTATGACTTGTCTAACAGCATGTTTCATGAAATACTTTGATTCTTATGACAATTGGAAATTATCGTCTTGGTAAACAAGTTTACTTTTTGCAGACGATGAATTTATATCTGGAGATAATAATTTACTTTATCCTGTATGGACTCTGGCTGACATGATGCTGGCATAAGTCATTATTTTTGCTTTGGTAACAACTACTTCAGAAAGGCTAACAAAATAAAACAGGAGTGGCACTTAATTTTCTCTTTCTTGATTATATGTAGCATATATAGAAACATTAGTCAGAGTCTTAGCTGTAGTGCAGTAACATTACCAAAGCTTGAATTGTGGCAAACATGCCAAATTAAATGTGCCACATCAGGAAATAAGAGGATATAGCTGAGCTTTTAAAAATACATTTGGTAATTTAAAATCTGTGAAGTAGTGAATCCTGAGGGGAAAAGTATCTGAGCTGCACAGAAAACCATGATTAATACAGAGCCGTCTTAAAATACAAATTAATGACTTGCAATAAGTTTTCTATTCAGACACAGAAGAAAGGTTCCTTTCTCCTTGTTGCAGAATAGAAGGTAAATGTTTTAAATTAGCTATTTGTCCGTTTGAATGCATCCAGTAAGGAGGATCTTATTACTTTCCTATGTAATTGATTTCAATATCAAAGTGCTGTTACTGTTACAAATAAAAATTCTGGTATTCCATTGGAATCTGCCTTCTTAAATCTGAAATGTATTATTCCATGATCTCTACTCTGGAAACTTAAGCAACAGGTCTTGACCTTGTTTGTGTATTCTTTCAGTTATTGAATAATGCCTAGTATATCTCCTCTCAACTTCTCTTCTTAAGGCTAAACATTCCAAATTCCTTCCATCTCTCTTCATATGACTTTGTTTTTAGTCCCCAGTAATCCTTGTTGCCTTTATCTAGATATGAACTACGCAGAATAAAGTAGAACTTTTACTTTTGCTCTTCTTGTTTACTTCTGAAGTTGCAGCTTGCTTGCTTGCTTGCTTGCTTGCTTGCTTGCTTTCTCTTTCTTTCTTTCTTTCTT